TGGGCGCCTCTTGGGCCGTCCTGTAACGTCGGAAAGCCCAAAAGGCGACTTTGTTAAAAATGTACGTTTTACGAAGGGAATGGGCCAATTCTTGCGTCTAGGGGCCCTCTTGGGACGCATGTTGGAGGCTTCTTGGAGCCTCTTGGGGGCGTCCTTGGACGTCTGGGGTCTCCTGGGGCCTCTTGAGGGGCCTCCTGGGGGCCTCCTGGCGGCCTCTTGGGGCGGAAGGCTCGAGCTTGCGGTTCGTGGTCCCCCTCTGGGCCCCCTCTTGGGCCCGTCTTGGGGCCCTCTTGGGCCATCTTGGGCGCCTCTTGGGCCGTCTTGGGGCCCTCTTGGGCTGTCCTGGGGCCCTCTTGGAAGCTTCTTGGGCCGTCTTGGGGCGGTCTTGGGCGCCTCTTGGGCCGTCCTGTAACGTCGGAAAGCCCAAAAGACAACTTTGTTGAAAATGTACGTTTTACGAAGGGAATGGGCCAATTTTTGCGTCTAGGGGCCCTCTTGGGACGCATGTTGGAGGCTTCTTGGGGCCTCTTGGGGGCCTCCTTGGACGTCTGGAGGCCATCTTCAGCATCTCGGAGCCCTCTTGGAGGCCTCTTGGAAGTTTCTTGGGCCGTCTTGGGCGCTTCTTGGGCCGTCTTGTCTGACTGGGGAGGCCTCCGGCAAGCCCCGACGAGCCTCCGGGCCCCCCGGGGCGCACATTTGTGGTAGAGGTCCCGGCCCCGGGCCCCCGGACCCGGTGCGCCGTTATATGTGTATATCCACACATATACATATATATATATATATATATATATATATTATATATATATATATGTGTGTGTGTGTATGTATGTATTTATGTGTGTGTGCATATGTGTAGTGTGTGTGTATATATATATATATATATATATATATATATATATATATATATATATATCCTGGGTGGGGGGGGGGGCCAGGGGGTCCCGCCCAGGGACCTCGGCGCGCATGGGGGGCCCAGGGCCTTACTTCCTTGCGTCTGTTTAACAAGGTTTCGGCGACCTGGAGGCAACAGGGCCCCAAAATGTCGCAGGGAGCTCCAGGGGCTGCTCCCGCCTGGTGCCCCAGGTCTCCCACGGGCCTCCCAGAGGCCTCCAGGAGAGCTGCCCAAAGCTCTCACACGCGGTTGTCCCATAGTTGTTCCACGTTTTTCTCCACGCAGCCTGTTCTGCATCCCCACGCAGCACGACAGCCCCAGACGACGCCCAGGCAGTCCCGGTTCGGCCCCCGAGGCTCCCAACGTTGTCCCCACCCCAGATGGCTCCGCATGGGAGGATCGGCGCGCACTTTCCTTGTGTTTTTTTTGCAAGGTTGAGGCCTCCCAGAGAGCTCCCCGAAGCCCAAACCGCCCACTGCGGCGCCTGAGGTTCCCAACGCTGCCTTTAGACGGCCCAACAAGGCACCCAAATTGCCCAAACTGCACCCAAGGGGGGCCCAGGAGTACCCCGAGGCAGCTGAGGTTGGGCCCAAGACAGCTCAACTGGCCGACAAAACGGCTCCAGACACTTCCACAAAGCCTCCGCTGCGGCCCCGCTGCGGCCGCTCGCGGCGAAACGCGCGGCGGAACTCGCGGAAACCCCAGTTGTTCCTTTTCCCATTCCTCTTCCCCCCTTGCTCCAACTCCTGATTCTGCTCACGCTGCTGCTGATGCTGCTGCTGCACACTTCTTTCTCCCCCTCCACCCCCACCTCCTCTTCCTTCCGCCCCTCCCCTTACTTCCCCACCGCCGTTCCTCCTCCTCCTCCTCCTCCTCCTCCTCCTCCTCCTCCTCCTCCTCCTCCTCCTCCTCCTCCTCCCCTCCCCTCCTCCTCCTCCTCCTCCTCCTCCTCCTCCTCCTCCTCCTCCTCCTCCTCCTCCTCCGCCTCCTCTTCACGCCGGCAGCGCAGCGCGAGAAACCCCAGGCTCCAGGAGGGTCAGCCGCCAGGGCCCTCTGGAACGAGATCCGCTGTCGATGGCGCTGCTCGCCGTAGCATCCTTTGGCGCCATGACGCCGCGAGTAGAACCCAAGCGCGCGCGTTGTTCTGGCATGTGTATATATCCACATATACACACATACACGCATACATAAATATGCATAGATATGTACATATATATAGACGTACGTAGACACATGTGTAGATGTACACGTATACATAAATATATTGATCGACATATTGGTCTGTTATATACATATATATATATATATGTACATACATACATACATACATACATACATACATACATACAGACATACATACATACATACGCTCCCCCCCCCGTAGGCGACTACCGTTCTGCATGTTGGCGTCCAAACGAAGCGGTGATGCGATGTTGTGCTCCTGTCAACGCGCTGGCGATGTATGCTAGAATAACCCATGGCAGAACCCCGACGTAGCGCAGACGCACTACCTAGTCTGCGCCCACCTTCCAGCGCGTCGCGCAAGATGTGCTGCACCATCTCCCCCGTCTTGGCCCACGCGCCGTCGCCCTTGCGCCAGTAGTCGCACTGTGCCGAGCGGATATTGGCGGGGAGCAGCTTGGTTTCTGCCCTGGCGCTGGCGCTCCTGTGCGCCGGGTGTTTTTTATATGAAACGCCACCCACGTTCTATGATCTGCGCTCCGCTCTCGACCTTGAGGTACATGCCAGACGGGGGCACGTGCGTCTTCAGCTGGACGCACTCGGGAGGACCGAGCGCGTTCTTGCCGCCGACATTCGCGCACGTCTTCTTGTGACCAACGAAGTCGTGAATGACCCCAGGCACACGTAGTATAAGAATGCGCCGAGTCAGCGTGAAAGATGACATCGCGGTCTCTCAACCAGCCGTCAGCAAGGGGCCCCCACTCCACTTTGCGCACGGCCTCAGGGCCAGGGGCACGCTTCTCCGCCATGTCAGCGCGCAGTCCCGCAAGGGTCAGCGCGCGCGGCCTACCGCGCTGCGCGATGCCCGGCCACTGCTCCCACATGACGGGGCGAGGTGGGTCTTCCAAAGGTTCGGGGCCGTCAACCGGGCCCAGTTGGTCGAAGGTCGCCTCGTCGGCTCCCACGTCGGCCCATGCCTTCGGCCCACTGCGTTCACTGGTCGGCTCCGCGCCCCCCGCGCACATCCTCCGACCTTGCTCAACGTTGCTTCAAGTCCGCCCCACCGCTCTGTGGTTGACGTCGAAAATGATGCGGGTGTTCGCGAGGGAAACCCCCGTGAGCTTCGCCAGTGCGACCACGTCCTGCTTCTGCAAGCTCTCGGAGGGCGATCGAGTTGCTGGGCGCAGGCGGCTGCAATGGCGTCACCGCCATCGCGCGACAAAGCCCCCGCTGTCCAGCAACAGCCCGCGCGCCGCCTCGTCAAGCCAAGGGCGCCGCCTCCTCCCAGGCGTAGACCCGACCCGATCGGGCCAGCGCTTCTGACGAACGCGGGACAGAGATGATGCGAGAGCCAAAGACAGGGGCGCAATCCCAGGCCCCGCCGCGCTGCGCGCACAGCTAAGATCGCACAGTTTGGAAAACAGCGAGCGCGCTTCCACCGTGCTAGACAGATATATAAATAGATCGATGTATAATTACAAACATTGTTGGATATATCGGCCGAGAGGTTGATAGGAACAAAGATACATATATATATATATATATATATACATAACACATGTATACACATAGATAAGTATATACATACACACAGAAAGGTACATCGATAGAGACAGGCAAAGGTAGGCGCCAGCTTCCGTGCGACCGAGCTTGCAGACAAAGACGGAGGTATAGGCCCAGGCTTTGCCAGGCGTGTGTGGGGCGATGTTTCGCGAAGTGCCAGCTCTGAGTCGAGTCGACGTGGCGCAGCGGCGGCGCTGGGGGATCGGCGCGGCGTCACCATCATCACCATCACTGCCAGCACCGCCATCGCCACCGCGACGATTCACCCCCATAGATGGATAGGTCAGGATCTACATATAAAGAGAGATATAGATCGAGAGATAAATATATATATATATATATATGGTTGTATATATGTGGTGTATACATGTGTATATATGGACTGGTTGAGGGACCGGCCCGATATAGATCTATCGACGGATTAGATTGATGGAAGCACGCGGAAGTAGGTGGTTTTGATTTGCCCGTGTGCTCTTACATGGCAGTAGGCGGGCCCATCGCAAATTGACCGCCTCCTCCTTCCCCCCCCTACTTCCTTATCACCCGAAGGTTGGTTCCATCGGCATGGGTATATAGCTATCCCCCCTCTTTCTCTCGTTTGTTATGATTATATGTGTCTCTCTCTCTCTCTCTTTCTCTCTCTCTTTCTTTCTCTGTCTCTTGTTCTCTCTCTCTCTCTCTCTATTTCTCTCTCTCTCTCTCTCTCTCTCTTTGTTTTTTGTTTATCTCTCTCTCTCTCTGTCTCTCTCTCTCTCTCTCTCTCTCTCTCTCTCTCTCTCTCTCTCGGTTTATTATTATTATTTCGTCATTTGTTCCTGCCTGTCTCTCTCTCTCTCTCTCTCTTTCTCCAGAAGCGCAGTCGTGGGCCCAGGTTGATGATTGTTCCAGCCTTTGCTCCACGTCCCCCTCCTCATCCCACTCCTTTTTCCCCCCTCCCTCCTCCTCCTCCTACTCCTCATCCTCCTCCTCCTCCTCGTCTTCCTCTCGCGTAGGTAGCATTAGCGTCGACAGTCTTAACATAGAAGACCGTGTGCAGTCGTAGTGTTGGTAGCTGTCGTCTTGGGACGCAAGCGCCGTGTCGAGTCCGATCCGGTCTTCCCCCTCCGTTCTGTCAGAGGTGTGAGGCTGCTGCAGGCCAGCATCCTCCATAGTCGGACCCTCCATCAGCCAGCGGTGCCCCCCAGCGGGGGAGCTCGTGGGAAGGCCCCCCTCTGGAGGCGAGGCGGCACGTGTCCGGCATTGTTTCACAATAGTTCCGTTGCTAAGCGTAACGTGGAACCTATCTCGGATCGTAGATCACAAATGCGTTGTTCCATTATGTTCCTTCTGTCTGCACGTGGATTGCGGACGTTCCCCGCGGGAGGTGGATGCTGAGTCCAGGGAGCTGCTGAGCCAGCCCAAGCAGGAAGAGTCGCAGAGCGCACACCAGCTGGCCCGCGAGATGATCAGGACTCCAGGAGGGAGGACGAGGGGGGAGGTGGATGTTTCGAAGTTCGAAGAGGTGCGTCGCAATTCTCGAGTCCGGGAGGCCTGTTTCGGGCACGGGTTGTCGAAAACGATCATGAATACACAAAGTATGGCAGGACAGACCCCGGGAGGGGTCCAGGAACCAATTTTGTGCGGATTTCGTTGCGACGGACACGGAGGAGGAGAGAAGGGCACCGAGGTTTGACCTCAGGGTTGCGAGTAGATCAGGAGGAGGAGGAGGAGGAGGAGGAGGATGTAGAGGAGAAGAAAGAAGGACGAGAAGGAGGAGGTGGAGGGAGAAGAAGAAAAAGAGGAGAAGGAGGAGAAGGAGGATGAACAGCATGAGAAGGAACATGATCAGGACTTGGAGGCGGAAAGAGGAAGACAAGGAGGGATGATGAGGACGAGGAGGGGGAGAGGCAGGAGGAGGAGGGATGAAGATGAGGATGAGGATGGAGATGTGGACATGGTGGGGAATACTAGGACAACGCCCACGCGAGGATCATGTGCGTCGAATGTGCACAGTGCCCCGAAGGGTTCGCATGTGTTCCGCGCAGGCCTTCGTGAGGTTCCGTTGGTTTTCATATGTGTTGGTAGGAGTTTGGAAGGTTTCAAAAGGGGTTTTTGCTGGAGGAGGAGGAGGAGGAGATGGAGGAGGAAGAGGAGGAGGAGGAGGAGAACTGAGGGTCTCAGGTTTGTGAGATCTTGGGTTTTTTTCTGGGCACCCTCCGAAGAGGCCTTGCGGGCACGGCCAAGGAAACCTCAAGCCGGAACGCGGTACTTGGGGGAGGTCTGCGGGTCGGCTCTGCTTGGCAGGCCCATAGGATGAGGACAGAGCGCTCCGGAAGGTTTCTGGCTGTCTTCCCGCTCACGGGGCCTTCCACGGGCCCCGTGGCCATCAACAAATTGCCCAGGAGGCGTAAAGCTTTGAGGATCCCCCCTTGTTCCTTTCGGCGGGACTGAACTCCGCCCCTCCTCCTCCTGCTCCTGCTCCTCATCCTCCTTCTCTTCCTCTTCCTCGTCGTTGTTGCGCGGCGGGTGCCGCGGACAAATACTGTAAGTATTTTCCATTATTGGTGGGACCCCAGTCCGTCCATGATGGCGTCGAAAGGCTGTTTTTTTACGCGGGCCGACAGAAGTTCCTCTTGAGCCCGAGATGTCGGAAGCGCCGTGCCGTTCAAGTGAACGGATGTATGCTGGGCTCGCTTCGAATTGGGGCGTGCCACGTATTATGGGAGGAGATGCCGGAGTTTGTTCGGGCCCGTTGTGGCGCTCGAGCAAGCGATATTATGGAAGGAGCTTGTATGATGGCCAGGCCCGCTGTGGCGCTCGAACACCGACATGTTATAGGGGTTCAGGGAGGAAGCTATGCCCGCTGTGGCGCCCGAGCTTCCGACCTTGACAGTTTGCTTGTCTTCGTCCTCCTGGTCCTCCCTCCCCCTCTTCTTCCTCTTCCCTCTCGTCCTCCTCCCCCTCCCTCCTCCCACCTTCTTCCCTCTCCTGCCTCCTCCTTCCGCTCCCCTCCTTCCTCTGTTTTTCCTTATAAATAATTCCTCCCTGTCGCACCCCGAGGCCACACGGAAGGGCAGGCCGGGCGTTTCGCTTGAGACTCTTGTGTCATTTATGAGCCTGAAATTGCAGCAGTTTCGCGCGTGGGGGGCGAGTCGTTTTCAAAATGTGGCTCTCGTTTTAGCGCCGCGCACATTCGTTTTTTTTAAGTTCGAGACCTTCTCGGATTGAGGACAGGTCGTTTTCAAAATGTGGCTCTCGCCTCCAGCCGCGCACATTCGTTTTAGAATATTTCAAGAGCTTCACGGATTGAGGACAGGTCGTTTTCAATATGTGGCAGGATTTTCACAGATTGAGGGCGGCTCGTTTTCAAGATGTGGTTCCCGCCGCAGCGCCGCGCACATTCGTTTTAAACGATTGCAGGAATTCTGTTCGTTCTCATGGCTGATTTTCCAGAAGTGTTGTTTTGGAACGGTTCTGGATTATCCGGGCGCAATAGTTACGTGGATTCGCGGTGTCGAAGTCCTAGGAATGGTGTTCCGGCGCGATTCAGGATCGTCAAGACGCAACAGTCATATTGATTCGTAGCGTTGAAGTCCTGAGAATGGTGTTTTGGCACGCGTCGAGATTTTTACATTGTTGTTCCCCAGCGGCGCGTTTCCCTCCGTAGACATGAACCTTTGTTGGGGTTTATGAAGAGGGAGCTTGGAGGGAGGGTGTATTCCAGCATCGTCGATTGGGTTTACATTGGTCCTTCCTCCCCCTCCTCCTCCACCTTCTCCTCTTCCATCCTCCTTCCCCTTCCCACTCCCCCCTCGTTTGTCCTCCAATATTCCCCTCCCGCTTCCGGCCCCCTCGTTCTTCTTCTCTCCTCCCCATTTCCTCCTCCTCCCCCCCTGTCTTCCTCTCCCCTCCCCTCCCCATGCCTTCGTCTCCCCCTGTCTTCCTCTCCCCTCCCCTCCCCCTGTCTTCCTCTCCTATTCCTATCTCTCTTCCTCTCCCCTCCCCATTGCCTCCTCCCACCTCATTTCCTCTCTTCGCCCTGGGCACGCCTCTTCCCCGTAGAATCATGGCATTGGTGTGCAGTGCCACAATTCCGTGGATAGCAGGATGTTTCATGCGCAGTGCCCCGTGGATACGATGTCTTGTAGATTATCATTGTAGATTCCCGCGCAGGAACATACATGCATCGGTTGTCTTTCCACACACGGGAGACTTAATGCAGATCCGCGGAAAAAATGTGATGCATTAGAATTGTTAAACAACGAGAAAGGGATCACGTTTGATCCAGAGGCTTTGTCATATGTTTCACCACAGGAGGAAATACCTGCCGGCCTGAGGACGAAGGAATTGTCACAGTTTGGCAGATATCCGTTCCCACAGTTCCAAATCCCGCCGAAGGATTTGGAACGTATTGGCAGGTTTTGGTTGGGGAGATCCAGTTCCAAACCCCGCCGCACGAGTTGGCGCATATTGGCAGACATTGGTTGGGGAGACGCAGTTCCAAATCCCGCTGAAGGATGTGGCACTCGTTGGCAGGCATTGGTTGGGGAGACGCACTCCCGAATCCTGTCGAAGGGTGTGGCGCGTTTTGGAAGGTATTGGTTGGGGGGGACGCAGCTCCAAATTCCGTTAAGGATACGGCGCATTGTGGCAGGTGTCGGTTGGGGAGACGCAGTTCCCAATCCCGCCGCACGATTTGGCGCGCGTTGTCAGGCATTGGTTGAGGAGACGCAATCCCGAATCCCGCCGAAGATTGTGGCGCGTTTTGGAAGGTATTGGTTGGGGCGACGCAGTTCCACATCCTGTTAAGGATGCGGCGCATTGTGGCAGGTGTTGGCGGAGGAGACGTAGTTCCAAATCCCGCCGCGCGATGTGGCGCATGTTGGCAGATATTGGTTGGGGAGATGCGGTTCCAAATCCTGTTTGCGCGGGCCGAACGGTTTTTTTCTTGAGTCCGAGGTGTCGGAAGCGCCGTGCCGTTCAAGTGATCGGATGCATGTTGCGTTCGCTTTTGATCGGGGCGTGCCACATGTTCTGGGACGAGATGCGGGAGTTGGCCGGGCCCGCCGTGGTGATCGAGCAACCGTATGTGATGGGAGGGGTTCGTGTGATGGCCAGGCCCGCTGTGACGCTCGATCGCCCACATGTTACGTGGAGGGTTCCGGGGGTGGCTATGCCCGCTCGAGGTCTCAACATTGATACTTTGTTTGTCTTCGTCCTCCTCGTCCTCCCTCCTCCTGTTTTCCTCTTCCTTCTCGACCTCCTCCCCCTCCCTCCTCCAGCCTTCTCCCCCCTCCTGCCTCCTCCCTCCGTTCCCTTTCTTCCTAATTTCTCATCTTTCCTCCTCCCTCCCTCCTCCACCTCCACCTTTTCCTCCTTTTCCCACCCGTTCCTACTCCTCCCTCATGTGTCCTCCTATATCAGCCTCCCACTTCCGTCCCCCTCGTTCTTCTTCTCTCCTCCCCATTGCCTCCTCCTCCCCCACTGTCTTCACCCCGGGAAAACCGCTTTCCCCCGCTGAATCATATAATTGATATGCAGCGCCACAGTTCCGTGGATAACATGATGCCTCACGCGCAGTGCCCCGTAGATCCAATTCCTGTGGGTCCATTGTTCCACGAAGCTAAATGTAACGATTTGCTTTCACACACGCAAAAAAATGTTCCGCGGAGCACAGACGTATGGTGCACCCAATTATTACACCGGGAAACGGAGCACATTGGAACCATAAGTGTTGTCATATTTTAGTCCAAGAGGATCAAACGTTCGGAATGGGAATGAAACTTTTGGCACGTTTCGGCAAGCACTGTCTGGGGAGACGCAGTTCCAAATCCCGCCGAAGAACACATGTTGACAGGTATTGGCTTGGGAGACGCAGCTCCAAATCCCGCCGGACAAAAATGTACGGTTTGGCAGGTATTGGTTAGGAAGACGCAATTCCACATAGGAGGAGGAGGAGGAGGAGGAGGAGCAGCAGGAGGACGAGGAGCAGGAGAACGGAGGGGGGGAGGAGAAGTTGGAGGAGCAGGAAGAGGAGAGGAGGAGGACAAAGAGGACGAGGAGGACAAGGAGGTGGAGGACGACGACGAGAAGGAGGAGGAGAGAAGGAGGGAGGGCAGGAGGGCGACGAAAAAGCCGACCACGTCTTACATAGGTGGGAGTGGAGCGTGAGGGAGAGAGACGTTCCCTGCCTTGGCCAGAGCTGTCCCAGACTTGTCTGTCCTGGACACACGTGGGGCGACCGTTCGTGATTCGCAGATGCCTGACAGGTGCCGACGTTTTGGTCATCGCTTGTCTTCCTCATCCACCTCATCGAGGGGTCAGAGACGGTCCAGTGGCTACACCGACCGGCGAGTCAGGGGTGATTAGGGATGCGCGGTCCTTCGGGTGACCTGTCGGGCAGGCCTAGGACAAGGGCAAGTCGCTCCAGAGCGGGCTGGAACACTCTCCGAGCGTTTGGGAACGCTTTGGAACGCTTGCGCGCCCAGAGCATTCATTATCTGCACCCGCCGGCTCTGAGATGTTCCGAGTAGTGCCTGCCCGAGGTTGTTTTTGTTTTATGTTTGTCTTGGGTTGTTGTCCGAGGGCGTCTCGAGTGTTTGGAACCTCCGATGCCCCGAAACCGTCTGATGACAGACCGTCTGGCGAGGTAATCGGGATCTCGAGAGATCATGGGAACCCCTGACCTCCCCCCGAAGCCAGCTGTCCACGAATGGACCAACTCGATGGTGCAATCAGTCGTCGGCGGCGAGAGAGAGGGGAAGTGAGAAGGAGAAGGCCTTCTCAGAAGGCGGCGGGCCTTCTCAGAAACCCTTCGGCCTTCTGAGAAGTCTTCCGCGTCTTCGGGAAAGGCTTAGAAAAGTGTTCGGAAGGCGGGGGGACTTCCGAGCCTTCTGAGAAGGCCCGCCCCTTCTCGCCTCCCCCCCTTGGCTCGCCGCCGAAGTTGCATCGCTTCTACGAGTCAGAGCCGGCTCCGCTCCGGTGTTGCCAGAGGTGGCCCTCAGCCCGCGGCGGCGCGAGGTGTTTGCCAGGGAGGCCCGGGGGCGCGGTGGGCCTCCAGAGCGCCCCAGCACGGGGGGGGGCAGAGGCCCCAGGGCATCCCCCCCCCAAAAAAACGGCGGAGAGGCTGGGGGAGCACCCTCGGGCGATGATGTTCCAACCTGCTTTGGCCCTGACCACCAGAACGAATGTCGAGCGCTAAGAAAGTACCGAAACTGGACGGTTTCCACGTGTCGGGCCCTGGGAGGCGATACTCGTTCGACACTTCGCAAGCGTGTCGGGTAGACATTGTTTCGATACCTCTCTGGGTGCTCGAATTTTTCTGGGATGTGGTCCTTAAGTACGATGAGAACACCATAACCCTTGGTGCAGGATCACCGCTGACAGTCTTCGATATGGGGCGGCCCTGGAAGGATCGTCGTCACGTCCCTCGGCATCCTGGTGGGCTTCTCCTGGGAGCACTGCTTCGACGGCGGCGTCGAGTCCGTGTCCGAAAAGGCGCAACCCATGTTTAAGGTGTGGTTCCAGCTCGTGCTGGGGATCCTGGTGTGCATTCTCGTCCCGCCGTTAATTCGGGTAACAAGACCTGGAGCTCTCGATCGGGCCTCGAGGGTGGAATCGAAGTGATCATGGAGAAGTGGGGGCAGGAGGAGGAGGAGGAGGAGGAGGAGGAGGAGGAGGAGGAGGAGGGAGGGAGGGAAGGAATGAAGGAAGGACGGAAGGAAGGAAGAGCAATGAGGGAACGAGGAATACCAGCATGAAGGACAGCATCGCCTTGTGCTGCTACGGAGGACGCTGATCTGGCGATGCCGTCTCGCTCGGATGCGACCGATCGACCTGGGACTGGGCCGACGGGGAGGGGGGAGGAGGGGGAGGAAGGGGAGGAGGAGAAGGAGGAGGAGAGGAGGAGGAGTGAACAGGAGGAGAAGGAGAGGGGCAGGGGAAGGAGGGGGAGAGGGGCAGGGGAAGGAGGGGGAGGAATAGGATCGGGACTCGAGCCAAAGTGCCCATGGGGAAGAAGCGGAGGGAATAGGAGAAGGAGGGGGGCATGGGGGGAGGAGGATGAGGAGGAGGCGGAGGAGGAGGAGGAGGAGGATCGGGACTCGAGCCAAAGTGGCCATGAGGACGAAGAGGAGGGAGGATGAGAAGGAGGGGGGCAGGAGGAGGGAGAGGAGGAGGAGCAGCAGCAGGAGGAGGAGGAGGAGGATCGTGACTCCAGCCAAAGTGCCCACGGGGGAGAAGAGGAGGGAAGAAGAGAAGAAGGGGAGTAAGGGGGGGAGAAGGAGGAGCAACAGCAGTAGAAGGAGGATCGGGACTCGAGCCAAAATGGCAGCTGGGAAGAAGGGGGAAGAGGAGAAGGAGAGGGAAAGACGGATGAGATGGGAGGAGCAGGATTAGCAGCTGCACATTGGAGCAGATGATACTCGTGGATCCCCTGTCTAGTCGTATAAACAGCCGGTTCGAACAACTGATCTGGACTCCCAGAGAGCGCCTTCGAAGCCGAACTTTTTGCAACGCAAGACCACGAGAGGCTCACATATCCAATTGCACAGGCAAGAAGGAGAGGGAAGTGGAAGAGGAGGAGGAGGAGGAGGATCAGCAGCAGGAGGAGGAGGAAGGAGGAGGAGGAGAAGAAGAAGAAGGGGAGGACGGGGAGGAGGAGCAGGAGAAAGAGGAGGAGGAGGTGGAGGAAGAAGAAGAAGAAGAGGAGAAAGTAGAAGGAGGAAGGGGAGGATGAGGAGGAGGAGAAGGAGGAGAAGGAGGTGGAGGAGGAGGGGGAGGGGGGACGGGGGGACGGGGGGACGGGGGGAGAGGGAAGAGGAGGAGAAGGAGGAGGAGGAGGAGGAGGAGGAGGAGCAGGAAGACGAGGACGAGGAGATGAGGA